GAAGCTTTCTTACTGAAACCTAGTTTCTTCTCGTAAATAGGAGCCATTGCTGGAGCTTAAAAAATTCGCTTTAGAATAAGACAAAAATAAATTAATGAATATCATGCAATAAATTGTCGAGCTAGCGCACATATTCTGAACAGACTCGCTCAACAGATGCTTGATGTAGAATTGAATGGCATGACAGCCAAAGTCGTACTTGTCCTTAATTCAGAAGACTGGGGCTAAGTATTTTTTTAAACCATTAATATGGGCCAGGTATATGATCATGCAACAACAGGAACGCTTTGTGTCAGTCAGGAACACTGAACAAGTAAAATCACATAATCAATAATCAACAGATAGGGAGAAATAGGGATTCAGTGTAAAATTACCAGGGGCAATAAATCATAAGATCCTTTAACGCGCATTCCAGCGACAGTCTTTTCTAAAACTTATTCGACAGCACACCGGTTGCCGGTGCGAAGATGCATTTTTTGCACGGTTCTCTAGCAGGTTTTTGTCGCTTATGGCATTGTTTTTTCTAGCAGGTGCTTCTAGCTAAGAGAATTGAGAGTAGCTACCACTACTGTTAGAAATTGTTACAATGACTTCAATCAATGCCCAAAAAAAGAAACTCAGCATTCCTGATGTTTCGGTTGCGAAGTTACGTCGAATTTAACGTGTCCGTACGTGAGTGGCAACGTGAATGCTCTATTTGCGTGCGCTTGCTCAAACACGGTCTTAGGAAAGATTCAGAATGCTCCAGAGTTCCAGATGCTCCAGTTGCGGAGTTACTCAAATTTTGCGCACTCGTATTGATTGGCAACGTTAGTGCTACTTACGCGTACGCCTGCTCAAACGTGGCTCTAGGCAAAATTCAGAAGATTTCAGCGCACCAGCTGTTCTGGCTGCGGAGTTACGTCAAATTTCACGTGTTCGTACGCGAAACATGGAAGAGACGTGGAAATCATTTTTACGTCCACCTAGTCAAGAGCCGCCGTCGATTATGCCCAGGAAGTTTACAGTGCTTTTGCTGCTTCAATTCGGATATTACAAAACTGCCTGCACGAAAATTTCGCGTGTCCGTACGTGAGATGCAGAGAAGCTGGAAAGCTCAATTTACTTTCACGGACACGTCATTGGATGACAAGCAACGTTGCAAAATTGCAACTCCCCACTTCTTGGCTAGCTTAAATCTGGAGTTGGCATGATGCCAGTTTAAAATTTGATGTGCGCAACTTGAGATCTAGGGGTGTTTGGAGGTTAAAATTTGAAATCTTCGGATAAGACGCGGCCAAGGAACATCTCTATGAAATTTCGTCCTCCTAGCTTACACCATCCCCGAAAACGCTTTCTCGCCAAAAAAACTTTCACGTGCGCGTCTATTTTAAGGGTAGGGGCCCGCTCGTATGTGTAGATTAAGTTATCAAAGTTCCAGCCTTGCAGCTTTTGTGGATCTCGAGATGAAAACTCGTTACAGACGCACACACAGACAAACCCTCGACAATAAGCGTTTTTGCATTGCAGAGATGCAAAAAACGCATAAAAGTCGAAGTAGAGAAGTGAAAGGGGGAGAAAAAGATGACTTCTCCAATATTGTCCTTCAGCGACTTTCACTCTTTACACGGCGACGCACGAATCGCAAAACAATTTTGCACTTGTGATAATCAGTCCCCTTCTGCTTCATTACATTTACCACCCTCCTATAATCCCTACTCCTTGCACACGTTAAGTTCTAATGCATGACAATATATCGTCAACATCTCTACAACACAAGCATCAGATCATCAAAACTCGTTGCAGGAAGAAATGAAGTATCGATAAAATG